CTCATGTCTGTCTGCTAGTGGGTGTCAGGGTGAGCTAGCTTTTCAGAGTCGGGCCCCTGGCGAACGAAAGCAAGAGAATCACTGGTCCATGCTGGAGGCAGAGCCGTCCCTCCTTCACGGTGCTGCCTCCTCAGGGCCTCCATTGAGCAGCTGGAGCTGGGCAGCAGGCGGAAGGCGGCCCTGGTGGTGCCAGCATTCGAGACCCTGCACTACCAGTTCAGCTTCCCCACTTCCAAGGCTGAGCTGCTGTCCTTGCTAGACGCTGGCTCTGTCTACACCTTCAGGTAGGAGGGGACACTGCTCTGTCCCCATTGCCCACACCAGCCCCCACCACCCACAAGCTCCTAGCCTCAGCCTGGCTCCTTGCCCTGTCCCCCTTCACAGGTACCACGAGTGGCCCCGGGGTCACGCGCCCACAGACTACGCCCGCTGGCGGGAGGCTCAGGCCCCATACCGTGTGCAATGGGCTGTAGACTATGAGCCCTACGTGGTGGTACCCCGTGACTGTCCCCGCTATGACCCCCGCTTTGTGGGCTTTGGTTGGAACAAGGTGGCCCACATCATGGAGCTGGATGCACAGGTGAGGGGGATCCTTAATGTCTCCAGCTGCGGTTTAAATACCTCTAGGCCCGAGGAGCTCACCGTGTCTCAGCGTGGCACACCGCCCCATTAGGCAGCACTATAGGAAGTCCCACCCTTCTGTAGAACTACAATGATCCGCCCTTTGGCCTGGCTTGGGCTCTTAGAGGCTCTTGGGTAAGCCTGCTCCCCATCCCCCAGCCCAGGCACTGACCATTGCTCTGCCCTACCCTTGCAGGAATACGAGTTCCTGGTGCTGCCAGAGGCCTTCACCATCCACCTGCCACACACCCCAAGTCTCGACATCTCCCGCTTCCGCTCCAGCACCACCTATCGAGACTGCCTGCAGGCCCTTAAGGATGAGTTCCTCCAGGACTTGTCCCGCCACTATGGGGCTGCTGCCCTCAAATACCTCACTGCCCTGCAGCAGCCTGAGGCTCCCTGACCTCCCAAGGCTGGGCCTGTGTGGCTCTCCGCTGCCCCTGGCCTGGGCTCTCACTCCGTTATTTAAATTATTTAAGGTCTCTGTGGGAAGGGCCGCAGTGGAGCACCTGGGGTGGGGCCTGGGGCCTCCCTTTGCTGTTCGGTCGCTGGGGTCTATTCTCCCTCTGCCCCAGCTGGTTTGGGGCTGGTTCCCCCCTCCTCAACTGTACACCTCTTTTTCATAATTAATGTTTTAAAAGCTCTGTTTTATGTTCTTCTTGGTTTGGGGCATGAGGGCATCCATGAGCCCAGGGAGTGCCTGGGAGGTCCCGAGTCTTGCCGGAGTCATAGGAGGGCCCGGCCTCCCCCAGAGGCTGTGACTGGAGTGTGTCTTGCCCTCCCTCCCTGGCCCCCAACCCAACACCATGAGGCTGAGAGACTTTATTTGGCTTTATTTAGTAAAATGTTAAAATAAATAAATACAAATTGATCAGCTGCTCTGAATCCCCCCCACCCCCTCAAAACAAAAATCAAACAAACAAAAACTTTGAAGCACAAAACTCCAAATACAAGTTCTACCAAGACTGAGATCACAAAGGGTGTGGACAAAGACAGGTGGGGGCTGGCTCTTCTGCTCAGAGCGTGCTGACCTCTGGCTGCCTGTTCTGTCCTGGCTGCAGCTGACCCTGGGCTGAGACCCAACGACACTGGGAGGGCAGGGGCCAAAGGCTGCAGTGCGGGACAGGGTGTCCTCGGGGTTCAAGAGGGCCTTGTGGAAAGGGCGGGCCCATGGGATTGGTGAACCCTGCACTCCCTTGAAAAGGGCCGTTTTTAAGAGTTCCACCCCAGTTTCAGGCAGGGCGTAACTCCCAGCTTCCTCCCCTTCACATCTGCGGGAGGGTCAGTTGTCTTCTCGGCCACCCTCCCTGCTTGGCCAGGCGCTGACACTGAGGATGGCTGTGGGTCAGGGTGAGAATGGGCCTCCTGTTTCCTGCCAACGGTGCCCAGCTGAGGGGTGGGGTGAGGCCCAGTCATGTCCACAGAGCACAGCTGCCTCTGTCCAACAGAGGCCATGGAATCGAGAACCCAGGGCCTGGAAAAGGTTCCTGGGCCACCATCCATCTTACCACCCCAAGAGCCTTTTGCCCCTGGAGGGAGAGTCTCCTATGAAGCCCTTGGGAAAATAAGAAGACCACACCCTGAGAGGCAGTGAAGGGAGGAAACCACTTCGGGTGTGTTGTGTGAGTTGGGAGCGAGAGCCCAAGGAGGCTCTGCTGGCCCCAGAGAGGAAGAATAGGAGATGGCAAAGAGGCAAGTGCACTCAGACAGGTGAGCGAGACGGTCCTCATGGGAGAGGCGTGGGGGAAGCAACTGCACCCATTCATGCCACCTGCTGAGCCAAGCAGCAACAGGGACCCGAGAGGCAGTTCCTGGAGGGAAACCGGGCATTCAGATGCTGCCGGCTGGAGGCTGCCATGGCCATTTGCAGGCCCCACATGGGCCTCCCTGCCGGGCACAACCAGCAGGTTTGCCCCAAGGGCCTGATAGGGAAGGAAGAAAGCAGAACTCCGGATGAGCTCTGCAGAGGGGAGACAAGACCGGGCAGGCTCCATGAAAGAAAAAGGACCTGCAGGCCACATTGGCAAGAAAGTGAGCTGAGCGGGAAGATGACAGCAACATGACCTCACTGCCTCCAGGACAGAGTGCCGAACCACAGGACTGACAATGGGCCCCATGATCAAGGGCCAGGTGGGCAGCTACCTGGTCCCAGACCAGCGGGTCCCTGGCCTCTAAAGTGACTACAAAGCCAGCTGGTCTCAGAAGTATCCAGCAGCTCAGGTGTGGGGAACGAAAGGGAGGAGGAGGCGGAGCCGTTCGGGTGGGGCAGTCATGAGTGCGTCTCTCAGGTGGTCACAGGCCTGGGGGACAGAGAGGAAGAGGAGACTGGGTGACCAGGGCATTTTCTTTGCAGTAAGGGGTGTCTTAACATTTGAGTCCAGAATGGGGGCTTGGGCAGGGTTGCATTTTTGTACTCTATACTGGCTGACTCCCCACATGGCTCACATCTGAACTTCAGGAAGAATCTACACCCCGACCCGAGGCACAGTCAGCGGGACTGCTCACAGCAGCAGGCAAAGCACCCGCCAGTTCCCAGTCCTGCCCCCACCCACTCCTCAGGCAGCTCCTTCCTGAGCGAGGCCTGTGACGATGGTTTCCCAGCTTCTGGGCCCAGACAAGTCGAATAGGCGGGCCCCGAATGGGGGGTGGGGGAGGTGGTAAGCCTGGAGCTGCGCTCTGAACCTCCGCCAGCTATTCCTCCAACTAGTCCAGGCACTTCCTCAACTCCCTGACGAGACATAGCACCTTGGTTTCTGCATGAGGAAAGGGAGCTCCTCTCCATCCCCCTCAGGCAACCTCTCAGTCCTGCCTGGGAGTTCCTCCTGGGACCTCCCTGGAAGATGGATGACAATCGCTGGTGGAGGTGAGACATTTCACCTAAGAAGTGTCTCTCTGTTGTGTTTGCTCTCAGGGTCCATCTTTGTCTCTCTGGGTCTAACTGGATGAGGGAGAAGTTAATGGGACCTTTCCTGCCCCTCCTAGACTCTGGCCAGTAAGAAGCACAGGGTGGGCTTTGGGGAGGGCCTTTGGGAGGGCTGGTGGCGCAAGGGCCTCTGCCTCCCTCCTGCTGGGCCGAGAACTCCAGCCGGAGCACACACCTGGCACAATTTATTTTCCACAGGCAAGACGACAGAAATGTCCGAGCCTTTCAGAACCCTGGTTTTTAAGGAGACAAGCCAGCCGAGGCAAGCACAGAGATTGTGGCCAAAGGTTACCCAGGAAGCTTGTGGGTGGGCAAAGTGGAGTGAAGTCCATCTCCGGTGCCTGGAGCCAGCAGGCAGAGAAAGGGGCTGGACATTTAGACCTCTCTTCAAAGGCAAGACAGATGCAAAGGCCACCCTGGGGCTCTGGCTCCGACAGGCCATGTAACCTTGAGAAACCGCATTCCTTTGTTCTTTCTCAGCACCAAGGGCTGATGCAGCCAGCCTGTCCCCTGCCCTCTCCCGGAGGGCTGGGGTGCAGAGGCACCAATGAACTTCCCTGGCCATTTCCTTCCAAGCTGTCCCCCAGGCACTCGAAATGCTGGTGGCTGAAAGACCAAGAGCAGCACCAAAGGAAGGGATCTTATTTAGGCACCAGCCTTTTGCTCTAGCAAAATCTGTGGGGATAGTGGGTAGGACCTCGATACGATCCACACTCCATTTGGGCTTAAAACAGGAGCCCAGATCCCTGCACCAAGAAGAGAGGGCAGTCTTCTCTGAGGAGGGGATGGTAGGAGAGCTCCGCCCCTGCCCGGCAGGCCGGCAGCCATCCCAGGTCAGAAATCATGGAGACTAGCCCACCAGTCTTGAGACACAAACACAGCAAAATGGCATCATGATCAGCAGGTTCTGTGCTAAAAAATTATAACTACACAGCATTTTCTCCAGTTCTGACACCTTTTTTAATAGAAATCACTGTTTTTAGGAAACAAATAGCACTTTTGTAATTTTTTTTTTACAATGTTTCTTACCTTGATCTTAATTTAAGTAACACTAGGAAGACCTCAATATCTTTTATTTTTCTTTTTTAATTTAAAAAAAAGTTGTTGTTGTTTTCCCCGGATACAAAGATTTTGCCCTTGCATAAAAAACAGTGCCCCGACGATGACACAAGGACTCACACAGACTCACTGGACCTCACTGACACGATGGCTCCTATTCTACCATGCAAGGTCTCGACTACCCTTCACTGGACTGTCAGCCTGAAAAACAGCTTTTCTATTCCTTATTTTAGTTTTTGTTACCAAAAAAGTAAAATAAACAATAAAATAAAACTTTTTTAAAAAGAAAATAAAGAACAAAAATTAAAAAAAGAAAAAGAGAGACGTCTCCATTCAATCCACACACACCTGGTCGCGTGCTGCTACGCTCAGGGTCTTCTATAAATATAGAAAGGGGATGGAGCTTGTTTTCAAGTAAAATCACTGATCCACCTTTTTTCCTTCCTTGACACACACACCCTTCTTCCCTGCCCTGGGCAAGGGCTGACTGAGCCTGGCTCTGCTTGTTCTTGGAGAGGGAAGGGACCCACCATCCACGGGGCGCACACCCATTTGCCAGAGCAGGGAAGGAACCTGGGGGGCGGTGGGGCGCCCACGGCGGGGAAGCGCGTGCTCCGAGAACCCGACGGCCGTCCTTGGTGCCCATCTCTCCGCACACAGTGGCCCACCACACATGATAAGAAATACTGCTTATTTGATATACTTTTCCCACCCCGGCTCCCTCCCATTCCCTCCCCATCCCTCCTCTGGGCACTGGGGTTGGTGAAATCTCGATTTCCTTTTTTTGGTTTTAAGTAGTGAAAGTTTAGAAACAGGAAAAGCCCACACACTCTTTGGACTTGTCTTCTCTACCTAAACAAACGGCTCGGCAAATAAGGATCTGAAACCTGCTCTCCTCCCTCCGCCCGTCCCTGCTCCCCACCCAACAAAACAAAAACAAACCCATCGTGGCTGTGGAGGCTGCTGCAGGCACACACTGGTGTATAATAGAGAGAGTAAATATATTATTTCACTTGGCATGGTGCTGGCAAAGAACCTCCAGCTGGCACTATTTCATGTAACATGGTCCAATCTTTGCATGTACACACAGAATAAGAAGGATCAATTGGCAAACTCTGGTGCCACCTGGCACAAGCATCTTCTCTCTCTCTGGAACCAAAGAACCAAAAGAATTCTGTACTTTCCAGAAGAAATCCGGCTTTGCTTTTCTAGAGTCTTCAGTGTTTTGCTCTCCTCGCCGCCGGGATCCCGCGGCTTCTCCTGGCAGGGCTCTGTTATTTAGTCTCTTCCCCCTGGTTACAGTTCACTGTGCAGCTCTGCGAGGACGGGGAGGGGGCTGGCGTGGAGGTGGCGGCGTTGGCAGGGGGGGTGCAGTCCGGGCCGTTGGAGATGGCCCCCACAGTGGCCTCAGAGTCTACGGGTTTGGAGAGGTCGATGCCATGGATGAGGCGGATCAGCTGCTTCACCTTCTCCAGGGAGCTGTGCATCTCCTTCTGCCGGGCCAGGATGGTGTTCTTCATTTCCATGCATTTCTGCAGCAAACGAGAAGGGCGGTGGCACTGAGCCTGTGGCTTTGCTGCCAGGCCTGCCAGCCTCTGCAGGTGGAAGGATTCTCGCTGGTTAGTGTGCAGCCCGGGACCTGTTCTGCTCCACAGGAGTGGGAGCCACCACCCAAGGCAGGAGGAGGCCCCAGAGGCAAGAGACAGAGGGCAAACGAGTGGTTCAAAAGCCAATTCTACTTGACACTGGGACTTAAAACCAAAGGTGAATTACTGTTCTAATACTATGAAATAAGTAATTTTAAAAACACAATTCCGCCTGGCCGGTGTGGCTCTATGTGTTAGAGCATGGAGGGGGGGGGGGGTCGCAGGTTTGATTCCCAGTCAGGGCACATACCCAGGTTGCGGGTTCAATCCCTTGTCAGGGAGCACATAGGAGGCAACCGGTTGATATTTCTCTCTCACATCAATGCTTCTCTCTCCCTCTCCCTTCCTCTCTAAAATCAATAAAAACACCCTCAGGTAAGAATTAAAAACAACAAGAACAAAGTTCCCACAGCCGGGCGGAAGCTGGTTTGGGCGGGTGTTTGCACCGCGCTGTCGGTGCTAACGTGGTCAGGACCGGACTGAGCTTTTCAGGGGAGAAAACACGCCAGGGGTGTCTGTGTTCCACCGGAGGGCCTCCCGAGGATCACTTGGTCGCCAAGAACTCAGAGGCAGAGCCTGGGCGGGACCGTGATGTTAGGATCAGACTTCAGCCAACAGAACCCCTCCTGCTCGTCACCTGTAGTCTTTTGCCCTCAGCCTCTCACACCTGTTG